TTGTTTTCCCGGGCGCCGCCCTCAGCTAGCTGTTTGGCAGCACATGAGCATGCCGCACATGCGCCAACCCCATCTTGCCGCCCTCCGTGCATGGCCGGCGCGGAGAATTTTCAAGTGCAGGGCAGTAGTGCCCCGGCATACCCAGCTCGCTGCGCCCCGTACATGGCCGGCAAAGGGGATTCTAAAGTGCAGGCTGGTAGCTCCCCGTCACACCAGGCTTATCGGTTAATCAGGTAGTCGGCTACACACTGACATCCCTAGTCAGAACTTAGGACTCCTGATTCCCAATATGGTGCGCTATCCACTAGATCACATTACTTCCCCTGTAAAGAAGACCCTTTTTTGCTAAGATGGTTCATTGTATTTTGGAGCATATTGGAGTTTCATGGAAAAATGAAATGAAGTTTCATGGAAATGCTGAGAAGTACCTGCAGGGAAGTTCAATAGGGGAATACATGGATGGGGCAACATAAAAATCCCTAAAGTGTTTTATAGGTTCATGGCAGTTTTCCTCCAGTTGCAATGGGATTGTAGTTGGAAATACAGGTACCACAAGGGCTATGATATCAAGTAGCTATTAGTTATTTAGAATATTCTCTATTTGTATTGTCTCTGGCTGAAAAATGACTTTGAGTTACTCTCAGTCCATTATTCTCACCATCTTGGGGATATACTGCCTGCGATCACCATAGACAGACTCCTAATCAGTACTGATGGTACAAAACCCCTTCCACAGTGGCTGGTAAATCTGTGTGGTTTGAAGTAGCTTTTTGTGTTTGTTTGTAGCATCATCAGTATTGTGCAAATGCATTAAAACTCTGAAGACTCTTTGATTATCATGGTTTACTCAGTGCAGGTGTAGAAGTCAGGGTGCTCAGTGCTGTACAATACAGATAAAGACATGGTGTAGAATCCAGGCTCCTACTGAAATCTATGGCAGTTTTGTTAAGATTTCACCCATGGTCTCTGTAATTAAGATGCTGATGGTACAGACTCCCTTGCACACAAAGAAGTGGTTGGTAAATCTGTTATTTTCTGTTAGATTCCATTTCATTCTAATAAAACACTGTAGGCCCCGGGGCTAAGTGGTAATGCTCTTTATTATCTTTGCAAAATACCTAATGCAATTCTCAATTGGTTGAACACTCAATAATAATTTTGCACATTAAAATAAATGTATAATATTCTGTTCTCTCCATAAAGGATTTGGCTAAACATTAATTTTATTCTTGTTCCCCTGGCCCTACAAATCTTGGGAGTATAGGGAAATAGCTTGAAGCATCTATGTGCTTTGTACCAGTCAGCAGTGACTCTTCTGGTTGCTTAAAGACTAATTTTGATGGATTATGAAGGAAATCAGACTTCCCCAGAAATCTCATGTAGCCCCAATACTAGGAGTGTGAAAAAAAGAAAATGCATGTGTGGAAAATGTTCCTTGGGGTGTGTGACAGAGATGCAGAGGTCCCACTCCTCTGGTAAGCATTTGAGGGTTTTTAGGTTTTTCTAGTGAGTAATTTCTACCTTAAAACAGCAGCAGAAATTCTCTACCTTTATTACCCAGTTTTTTTAAATAGAGCAAATTTCAGCCTGCTAATGACTTCACATCTGCAAGGATTTTCAAGGGTGATGTGATCGTTTGTGTTTGAGAATCTCTCCACAGAGAGATTAAATGAGTTGCACAAAGTCATAGAGAACTGAGAATTAAACTCCAGTGTTCTGAATCCCAGTCAGCCTCAGCCTGAACCAGAAGTTCATCCCCACTCCTGACAGGAGGATAAAACAGCAATAATAATAATAATAATAATAATGAATAATTAATAATAATTTGAAGGCACAGTACTTCCTATTAACTTGTAATGTTGTACCCTTGACTTAGGATGCATTTACACTGCAGGGCTTAACTCGAAATAAGCTAAGCAAATTGAGCTAGGTCAGTTACGTATCTTATTTCGAAATTGGGAGCGTCTACATACTTATTTCAAAATAGAGCACTCTTCCTCCAGCTTCCCTTATTCCTCGTACAATGCAGGTTATAGGCATCAGAGTAAGAAGTCCGCCAGTTTGATAGTATTTTGACACTATTTCGAAATAACTGCCAGCTGTATAGTCGCAGACTAAGTTATTTTGGAATAGTGTTGCAGTGTAGACTTACCCATTAGCAACAGCATTTAATCTAGAACGTCTTGTGAAATCTTTTACAGGTAGGGATGCAATTGTTACTCTAGTTTTTAATTAGGAAGTGTCCTCAAATTAAAATCTAAATAAGCCCATTTAGGGCTGCACTGGGGTATTATTTTGAAATAACTCCCCTTATTTTGAAATAACTAGGCGAGCATCTACACTACCAAGTCTGTTATTTTGAAATACTAACTCCTGTTTGTGAAGAGGTATAAGCTTATTTTGAAATAACTCCTCATAGCCTTATTTGAGAGTAACGTATTTTGAAATAACCTGGTAGAATAGACATAGCCTTAGAGAGGAGAAGAGTGAAATGCAGCAGACGTCTTGGAAGTGATTGTTGCTTTTCTGCCTAAATTGGGAGACTGTTCAATCTGGTGGTATCTTTCAAACTGATTGAACTTTTAAAGTGTATATACTGTAGCTAGGCAGAACTGAAAACCTCTGTTGTGTCGTGTCACTTAATCCGCCATTGTTCAGATTCTGTTCCAAGGAAGCCTGTAGTAATAGAGTTTGATTCTTCGCTGTTAATATTTGCCATTACAGCTAATGTCAATGTGGTATAGCCTGAGATGGGGACTAGAAAGCAGCTGTAGAAATCCTGATAAAGACAATATATTACTTGCAATCTGAAATAGACTCATCAATGATACAGAGGAGAGGAGGATGGGAAAGGCAAAGCTCTGGGGTCCCCTAAGTATACAGAATCAGCTAAAAGACAAATGAACAATGCTCAGGTCAGTTCCTCATGTTCTTTACATGGCTGATGTAATTCAGATGCCTGCCTTAGCAGGCAGTAAACTATGCTGATACTGCCTGAACTGTCTCCCTTTCTTTTTAATCTTATTTGTATTTAGAAGTCAGCAGTTGCCTGCTGACAGTAACAGTCAGCTTAAATATTTGGTCTAGATGTCGAATCTCAGATTGTTCATGTATCTCCAGGATCCAGTGCTCCATTACTGCCAGTATTATGTATTTTAATGAATGCGGAATGGCACTGAGGAATAGAAATTACAACAATGAAGTGGAAAAAATGCGCTGCAGCTTTCTTCAATGAGTAACTGTTTAACACTAAAAACTGTTAAACACATTAAAATCCCATTTAGCAACCAGCAGAACCTAATGAAAATTGGAACTCTTCAGTGAATACAAATGTGGAATAATGTTAGGTGAAATGTCTCTGTGTAACAGTTTCTCATTGTTCTAAATTATATTACGCAGAGCTGAGAGCTGACCAAAATAGTCAATAGGCAAATGAGATTCAATATTTCAATTTTTTTTAGTTTATGGGTCTTTCTAATCCTCTCATTTGTTTTGTGCATTTTTTTAGCATTTCAGTCATATTTCTTTAATGTCCAATAGACTAGCGATTGTTCATGGAAAGTAGAACTCAAAAAAGGTAACTGTATAACTGCTTTGTTGTGGGGCGGGCAGAGTGGAATAACAAAGGAGAGAGGGAACTTATTGGAGAATCAGATGTGAAATCAGCTCACGCTCTCTGGGTTAAGTTTTATTGCAGGGGTTCTTGGTTTTTTCTGAATTTACTCCGATTTGGCATAAGTCTCCAGATGAGCATTTCACCTATGGAATAAACTCAAACTCTGGCAAAACATAACTCCCTTAGAGACCGACCACACGGAGTACCTCATGTTTCCCCAGGCTCCCTGTTTTGGCTTCTTGTAGCTCTCTTCCCTTCCCTCGCCACTTCTTTTTTTTCATCTGTTCCTTTCTTTCTCTCTGCCAGCCATCCATCCATATACAGGCAGTCCCCGGGTTACGTACAAGATAGGGACTATAGGTTTGTTCTTAAGTTGAATTTGTATGTAAGTCGGAACTGGCTCCAGATTCAGCTCCTGCCACTGAAACTGACCAGGGGCTGACTACAGGAAGCCAGAGGCAGAGTTGCTCTGCCCCCAGCTTCCTGGAATCAGCCTGATCAGTTTCAACAGCTGCTGAATCTGGAGCCTGGGACAGAACAGCTGGGGCACTGCCTGGTACGTGCCCACAGGACCAACCCGGCAGCACCTCAGCTGCTCTACCCGAGGCGTCCCGCAACAAAAGCCTGGTCTGCTGGGGG